TGTTGTCAGAGACAGGATAATATCCATGTGCCTACAAGGAAGACCAGTTAATACCACTGTTATTCCAATTTGTGCACCAACTGCCAAAGCCAAAGAGGAGGAAATTGAAGATTTTCACCAAGGTCTGCAGTCTGAAATTGACCAAACATGCAATCAAGATGTGTTGATTATCATGAGTGATTGGAATGAAAAAGTTGAAAACAAAGAAGAATCACCAGTAGTTGAAAAATAGGACGTTGGTGATAGAAATGATGCCAGAGATTGCATGATAGAATTGTGCAAGACCAACAACTTATTCATTGCAAATACCTTTTTTCAAAAACATAAATGGCAGTTATACATGTGGGCTTCACCCGATGGAATAGACAGGAATCATATCAATTACATCTGTGGAAAGAGGCAATATAGAAGTTCAATTTCTTCAGCCAAAACGCCAGGAGCTAACTGTGGAAGAGACTATCAACTGCTCATATGCAAGTTCAAGTTGAAGCTGAAGACAATTAAAACCAGTCCACAAGAGCCAAAATATGACCTTGATTATATCCCACCTCAATATAGACACCATCTAAAGAACAGATTTGATGCACTGAACATAAATGACAAAAACCAGAGGAATTGTGGGATGACATTAAGAACATCATCCATGAAGAAAGCATTAGAAACCAAAATGGAAGAACATGCTTGGCATTTCTCAAGCTAAAAGAACTGAAGAAAAAATTCAAGCCTCAAGTTGTAATATTGAAAGATTCTATGGGGAAAATATTGAATGATGCAGAAAACATCGAAAGAAGATGGAAAGAATATATAGGGTCACTGTACCAAAAAGAATTGGTCAATGTTCATCCATTTCAGGAAGTAGCATATGATCAAGAGCCGATAGTATTGAAGGAAGAAGTCGTAGATGCCCTGAAGGACTTGGCAAAGAACAAGGGTCCAGGAGTTGATGGAATACCCACTGAGATGTTTCAATAAACAGATGCCATGCTGGAGGCACTCACTCATTTACACGAATACATTTGGAAGACAGATCAGATACATGGTCAAGTGACTAGAAGAAATCCATATTTGTACCCATTCCAAAAAAAAAATCATTTCACAGAATGTGGAAGTTTCACAGAATTTCACCATTCTGTGAAATCATCGAACAGTATCATTAATATCACACACTGGTAAAATTTTGCTGAAAATAATTCAAAAATAGTTGCAGCAGTGTATTGACAGAGCACTTCCAGAAATGCAAGCTGGATTCAAAAGAGGACTTGGAACAGGGATATCATAGCTGATGTCAGCTGGATCTTGACGGAAAGCGAAGAATAGTAGAAAGATGTTTTCTTGTGTTTTATTGACTATGCAAAAGCAATTGATTGTGTGGATCATAACAAATTATGCATAATATTGAGGAGGATGGGAATTACAGAATACTTAATTGTGCTCGTGAGAAACCTGTACACAGACCAGGAGGTCTTTATTTGAACCAACGAGTGGATACTGCATGGTTTAAAAGCAGTAAAGCTGTGTGTTAGGGTTTTATTCTTTCACCATGCTTATTCACTCTATATGCTGAACAGATAATCTGAGAAGCTGGACTACCTGAAGAACATGGCATCAGGATTGGAGGAAGACTTCTTAAAAACCTGCAGTATGCAGATGACAGTATCTTGCTTGCTGAAAATAAAGATGACTTGAAGCACTTACTGATGAAGATTAAAAACTTAAAATCTGCAGTATGGGTTACACTTCAACATAAAGAAAACAAAAATCCTTACAACTGGACCAATAAGCAGTAGCATGATAAATGGAGAAATTATTGAAGATGTCAAATATTTCATATTACTTGGATGTACAATCAACACAAATGGAGGCAACAGTCAAGAAATCAGACATTGTATTGCACTGGGCAAATCTGCCACACAAAAAAAAACTCTTTAAAGTGCTGAAGAACGAAGATATCTCTTTGAAGGCTAAGGTGCACCTAACCCAAGCCATGGTATTTTCAATCGCCTCATATGCATGTGAGACCTGGACAATGAATAAGGAAGCCTGAAGAAGAGTTGGTGCTTTTGAGTTGTGCTGTTGTGAAAGAATGCTCATAGTACCCTGGACTGCCAGAAGAACTAACAGATCTGTCCCAGAGGAAGTGCAGCCAGAATGCTCCTTGGAAATGTCCAGAATGTCCAGACTTCATGTCACCTGTTTTGGTCGTGTTGTCAGAGGGGACCAGTCCCTGGAGAAGGATGTCATGCTTGGTAAAGCAGAGTGTCAGTGAAAAAGAGGAAGACCCTCAAGGAGATGGATTGACACAGTGGCTGCAATGATGGGCTCAGGTGTGTATGGCAAGGGTTGTGAGGCTGTGCAGGACCTGGCAGTGTTTCTTTCTGTCGTGCATAGGGCCACTATGAGTTGGAGCCAGCTCAATGGCACCTAACAACAGCAAGAGCAACAATTAGAGTGACCCATCCAATGGCATGTTTCAGTTTTCCGTCATCTAGTGCATTTCAGTCACCTTTACATACACACCTCCTTCAGCGTTTGTCCATTTGCAAACCTCATCAAGCCAGTTTTGATACATAAATGTCAAAAAGATGACAGAACACAGTCACATTTTTTCCTTCCAGCAAAACAGGACAGTGCAAGTTCTGTTTGCCAAAGTGTGGTGAGAGACTACCTGGAGGAGAACCATATTTAGTTTTTGTTCCAGAAGCACCATTGACTTTGGGATGCTGACTTTGAGAACATTCCCCTTGTATGTCACCATTGAAGGTGCCTTGTTGAGACCCCGCCCAGTTGTTTCCCCTGTCATCCTTGGCATCTCAAGAGCTGCTCTCTGTCTCGCCACATTTTTCTTCTGAACATTAGAGAATCGTGACATGCTTTCCCTGTCAAGTTTCTCTTCTTCACCATTATAGACAGAAAAGGAGAATGTCTGAAATCTCAACTCTGTTTAGTGAGACAGACCGACTAGCAAGACTGCCAAGATGGCGTCTCCAGACATCTCTTACACCTTTTTGAAGGAAGTGTGTTACTTTGGGCAAAATGATAAAGCAAGTCAAAGATGGTGCCGTCGGGACCGTTTCTTGCACTGTTGCATCATCCTGCTGCCACACCCGTCTGTCAGCCTGTCCTACGTGGGGACTTCACCTGTGGCTGTGATGCTGGAAGCTGTGGCACCAGTGTTTCAGACACCAGCAGGGTCACCACAGTGGACAGCCTTCAGTGGGGCTTCCAGAGGAAGGAAGATCTTATGATCTACTTATGAAGATAAGCCCTGAGAACCCTGCATACTAGAAGAGGATCTCTTTTTTGGTAGAGAGTTAAAGGAAATGAGAGAAGCCCTCTTGAGGTGGACTGACATAACGGCTTCAACAGTGGACTCAAAGATGCCAACGATGAGGATGGTCAGGGCCAGGCCGTGTTGCATTCTGTGGGTCACCGTGAGTCAGAACTGACTCGACAGCCCCCAGCAATGGCGCTCCTCTGGACAAGCCTGTCCTTCTCCCATTTTCTGCTCATCTGCTCCTTTCAGCAGAGTCAGGAATACTCTATGAATGAGGAAGAAGTATTCTGTGAATGTGGACTAGCCAAATGCTTCAAGACACAGGAGAAATAAGGTGCCTGGGACCCACCAGATAGCTTACATTTTATAAAGTGGTCCCAGGGGCTGAGGGAATTGCAAGATAGGAGGAGTTTTATTCTTTCCTTAAAATAAATCTTCCTCTTTGCTTTTTGGAAGACATCCAAGATAGGATGAAAGTCATAAAGTATTAACTCTTATAAATAGAACAGATTACCAATAGCTGAGAAAAGAGACTCACAACTTAGATGTGTGCCCTGTAGAAGGGGAGCCCGCCGCAGGGTTGCGAGTCTGCGGGTTGCATAGGTGGGGACGCTGCCACCCTCACCCCGCGCTGCAAGGGTTGGCAGGCACACCTGAGGAAGCATCGCTCATGCCATGGTCTCTCCAGGAAGGAGCTCTGTAATGGAGCAGGGTGAGTTTAGTCTGCAGTCTGCCCAGAGTTGAGTAAGAAGAAATATCTCCACTTCTAATCCTTTTGAGAGGGAGGGCTGATGTGGTGTTGCTGCCATAGTTCTTAGACTGGTGATACTGTCCTTCCTTGTCGCTCTGGCCCCACGCCTCACCGAGAGACCACGTGGCACCGTGGCTGGCATCTGGGGGGTGTTCGTTTCCTGTAGCTGCTGCAACAGTCCCACGCACTCGTGACTTAAAACCACAGAGACGTCTTTCTTCACGGTTCTGGAGGCCAGACGCGTAGAAACAAGGGGCCGGCCGGTAGGGCCACGCTCCCTGTGAAGGCTCTCGGGCCCTTCCTTGCGTCTCTCAGCTTCTGGTGGCTCCGGGTGCTCAGTCTGCTTCTGTCTTCATGTGGGCCTTGTCTCTGTGTTTCTTCTCTTTTTACAGGGACACTAATCCCATTGCTCGAGGGGCCCCCTACTCCAGCATGACCTTCTGCTAACATAACTAATTCAGTCTGCAGAGACCATGTGCACAATTACTGAGGCTTGGAGTTGAGCATATGGTTTTGGGAACACAACTCAGCCTGTTAGAAGGGTTGCTGAGGGGCCCAGCTGTGTGACCCGAGACCCTCGGATGCCAGAACCTTGGACCTCCCTCCCCTCCCATCCTCTGTTACATGGGTGACCAGAGATAGACTGTTCTCTGGCGGGTCCAGGTTCTGTCTGTACGCATCAGCCTGAACCGTCGTCCCATGAACTAGCAGCTAGTGTTGCTTTGGCGCTGCTGGCCCTTGACCTTGGGTTATCACACAGGCCCCTCAGAAGGTCAGAGGCTGCAGCACAGCCCGGACTTCTCTGTGTGCCATGCTGGGCATCTCCAGGGACTCACGTCTCACGGGACCCTGGGGCAGTCTCCCTGCCACCGGCCACTGCAACACTGTCAGTCGTGTTCCTGCCCCTGCACTGTCGGAAGCAGCCCCTGCATCGTTGCTGCCCACCTTGTCTGTTTCAGCCCTCATCAAGTATATCCGGCCAGTGTTTGTGTCCCGCTCAGACCAGGACTCGCGCAGGAAGACCGTGGAAGAGATCAGGAGACGGGCACAGTCCAACGGGAAGTGGCCGCAGGTACACAGTCCCCCTCGAGCCAAGAACGGGTGATTCCAAAAGGGGTGAACTTTGAGGGTGAGGGGGGTGAAGCAGCAAAAGGGGCTTCTCTGGGGCCTAGGCTTCATTTCCTTGTGTGAGTGTGTGTGGGTGTCTGCATGTGCAAGTGTGAGTATGTATGCATGGATGTGTGTGGGTGGGTGGGTGTCTGCCTATGCAAGTGTGTGAGTATGTATGCATGGATGTGTGTGTGAGTGTGTGCAGGTATCTGCATGTGCAAGTGTGAGTATGTATGCATGGATGTGTGTGCGGGTGTCTACATGTGCAAGTGTGAGTATGTATGCATGGATGTGTGAATGTGTGCAGGTGTCTGCATGTGCAAGTGTGAGTATGTATGCATGGATGTGTGTGTGTGCACATGAGTGTGCAAATCCAGAAAGGTGTGAAATACTAGGTCCCTTCGTTATAGGACTACCTGCGTGACACAAATGGCTAAGCACTTGGCACTGACCAAAAGGTTGGAGGTTCAAGTCCACTCTGACGCACCTCAAAAGAAAGGGTTCATGATCTGCTTCTGACAAATCAGCCATTGACGGCCCTGTGGAGCACAGCTCTGCTCTGAGACACACGGGGTTGCTGTGAGTCAGAGTCAGCCCCACAGCAGCGGGACCTTATCCTCTGGCTTTGGTGTCTGGGGTTTCAAAATAAAGCGGGAAGCACGCACTCTCGGGTGTGTCTCACATTCTTGAATCATCTCGATTGGAAATTGTTGTCTCACATCTGACTCAGAGCGAGCGAGCCCTGCCCTGTCATCAGCACAGTGATCTCTGTGGACACCTCACCTGGAGTATCACTTACTCTAAAGTTCCTGAACTGAACTTGGCCAGCGTGTGCACTGGCTGCCGCGTGACGGTGGGAAGGCTGGCCGAAGGTGGCACCTCCCCGATCTTTTCCTTTCAGTTGTAGAGGGAAGTGTCCCATGACTCTCTGGGGCCTGGTTCACCAGCATCGGCTCCCCCGTCAGCCTTGGTTCGTGGGACTGGTTCCCCCACAGCGCCCCCACTCTCCATTCAGTCAACCAGCCTGCCCCTGGGGCGTGCTGCAGTCAGAGCCACCCCAACTGAGTGCTGACTGAATGCGGTCTCCCTCCTCGTCCCGAATGGAAGACAACCACATGGGATGTGCTTCCAGCACATGGGGGTCACATCAGTTTATCCTAAGTCACTGGAGAACCCAGTGTGGTCAGAGGAATCGAAAGCACCCGCGGGGAAGGCGCATCTTACCTGGGGGGTCTCTGGCTCCCCTGGCCTGGCACAACCGGGCCCCTTCCCATCCAGCCTGAAGGGTCCCTTCCTTGGGATCCCCACTGCCCATCACCTGGTCTACATGGAGGTGCTGTCCCCACCGAGCCTCTTTTGTTCTCCTTGTGTTTTCTTCTTAATGAAAATGGCTGATGCTTCCCATTGAATGCTACCCGCCATGCGCTAACACTTCCACTCCGCGAGGTCACCTCTGACTGACCACCATGCCAAATGCTGCCACTCCACGAGGTCGTCTCTGACCACTGTGTGCTAACAGTGCCTCTCTGTTATATCTGATTCTCCCAGCACCAGGGAGGTGGGTACCATTAGCACCCCCATTTTGTAGGTGAACAGGAGAAGGCTAACGTAGCTTCAGAAATTGCTCAAGGTCACACACGTGCAGGTGGCCGATCCAGAGCCATGCTTGTAAACTGTGTGTCATTGCCACCTCCGAGACCATGAGCTCCCTGAAGGAAGCACTGAGCATTCACCAGCCTGCCCAGTAGCATCGTGATGTGAGTCACATTGGCCATTTCCGAAGTTCTAGTTAAAAATTCACTGCAGTCAACTTGATTCCAACTCACAGCACCCCTAGAGGACAGAGGGAAGTGTCCCAGGGGGATTCCAAGGCTGTCCATCTTTACGGAAGCAAAGCCCAAAACAAACCCCCTGCCTTGGAGTCTATTCCAACTCACAACGCCCCTGGAGGACAGAATGGAACTGCTTCAGAGGGTTTCCAAGGCTGCCTGTCTTTGTGGAAGTGGACTGCCTCATCTTTCTCACACAGAACAGCTGATGCATTGTAACCACCAACCTTGTAGTTAGCAGCTGAATATCTTAACCACTGCACCAACAGAGTTCCTCAGTGTTCTAGTGACACTAAAAAGAGAAACAGCAGCATGTGATGCTAATTTTAATAATATATTTGATTTAACTTAGGAGTTAGTCCAGTCTCACAGACCCACAGAGAGCTAGCGGGTGCTTTTTGATGGCAGTGCAATATTCCACCAGCAAGGGTGGTCATTGCACCACTGCTTATGATCAGGGGAAAAACAGAAACAACTAAACGGCCATCTTCAGGGAACTGTGTGAATGCACTCTGTGCCCCCATCAGAGAATTTAGACCATCTCAGCTGAGTGTGGCTGAAGTCTGTCTTTGTCAGCAACAGAGAACAAAAATTGTGCAGATAGGCCCTTGTGAATGACATTTTGTTCATGCTGACTTTTTTTTCCTCCCCCCAAGATAATGATTTTTCCAGAAGGAACTTGTACCAACAGGACCTGCCTAATTACCTTCAAGCCTGGTATGTTGTTTTCTTACTTTTCTCCTTGATGAAAGGAAAATGTGAAAATAATATTTTGGAATAATACTGCATGTTAGTAATAATTTGTTTTTCTCTTGTATGTGGGAGTTCTTAGAAACATTTATTAGCAAAATCACAAAATAATTTTGGAGTTTGACCCAAGGATTATACTTTTTCCAGGAGGGTGAAGACATGATTTCAAAATGTTCATAGTGATGTGGAGGTGTTGGCTTTGTTTTGAGGTGCAGGTGGGTGGGTGCCCTGGATTTGAAAGGGGCCTGTTCACCTTTGGGATGGTTCAGAGTGAGGCAGGGTCAGGGGATGCTGACAGCCCTGCGTGAAGTGACTGTCACAGAGTCAAGGAAATTCCAAATGTCTGAGCAGGTGGGAGACCCAGGTGGTCAGAGCACCTTCTGGGCCAGGAGATAAATGCATGTGGGTCCAGTCCTCCCCTAGAGGTGCAGGACACTGAGCCCCCACCTTGAAGACATAGGGAAGGGCAGGGTGGGTTTTGCCTTGCGTGCTTGTGAAGAGTATTTGCATGTGATGCCTGTGGATCTCCTGGTGAAGTTCTGGAAGAGTGGTGCTGCCGTGGTGTGGTCTGCATCCCAGTAAACTGTGATTAGCCTGGAGTGTGTAGACAGCGTCCCTTGGGATGGAGTCAGGGGCCACATGCAGTGCAGTGTCCCACTGGCCTACGTGATGGTGGGGCACAGAAGCAGGCACCACGCTGAAATGGAGGAGGCCTCTCTCTGAACACAGCTGAGCTGGAGGGAGCCCAGCGGTATCTCTGGGGAAAACAGTGCCAGCAGCCAGCAATGAAACTGGGCCCCTGTCCAAATCTCTGACGCCCATCTTTTAGAGCCACCACTCATCTGTCACTTTGTCGCACGATGGTGGATTCCATGTTGCAGTGATACAGGAAGCTCTGCCATCAGTATCTCCATTACCAGCAGGGTCACCCATGGTAGAACTATTTCACCAGCACTTCCAGACAAGGGTAGACTAGGAAGGAGGATCTGGGAATCTGCTTCAGAAAACATTCCTACTGGAAACCTTAGGAATATACAGTAACCACCCAGAGGAACTTAGGCATAAACCCAACCAGAGACACAAAAGACCTTTACAAGGGAAACCACAAAACACTAACACAAGAAACCAAAAGAGACCTACATAACTGGACAAATGTACCATGCTCATGGATAGGAAGACTTAACATTATGAAAATGTCAACACTACCCAAAGCCACTACAGATACACTGCAATTCTAATCCAGATTCCATCATCTTTCTTTAAAGAAATGGGAAAACTAATCACTAACTTTCTGTGGAAAAGAAAGAGACCCTGGATAATTAAAGCACTACTAAACAACAAAAGGAGCTCTGGTAGCATAGTGCTTAGGGCACTTGACTGCTAACCAGAAGGCTGGCGGTTCAAACCCACCAGCCACTCCTCGGAAGGAAGGTTGGGCAATCTACTTCCATAGGGATATCACCT